TGCATCTAAGCCCTGGCATTGTTGCTCAGTGGTTGGAGCGTGGTCTTGTGTGCATCTAAGCGTCATAGGGCCGAAACCAGTTTAGCTCAGTTGATAGAGCGTCGACCTGTGGACTGAAAGGTTCCAGGTTCGGTTCCGGTCAAGGGCATGTACCTTGGTTGCAGGCACATCCCAGTGGGGGGTGTGCAAGAGGCAGCTGATCGATGATTCTCTTTCATCGATGTTTCTAACTCTCCATCCCTCTCTTGCTCTCTGTAAGAAATCAATAATAATAATAATAAAAAAGCGTCATAGGTTCAATTCCCAATTAAGGGCACATACCTAGGTTGCAGGTTCTTCCCTAGCCCTGGTCGGGGTGCCTGCAGGACGTGACTGATCAGTCTCTTTCTCCCTTCTTACTCCACGCTCTGAAATTCTGAGTGCTGCCATTAAAAAATTGATGGGAAAAATATCCTCGGGTGAGGATTAACCAAGAAAGAAAGAAAACTGATTCTTGGTTACTTAACCTGTCACCTATACAATGGGGATAAGTAAAGTTTTATAAATGTTAATGACCATTATTATTGAACATAATTAAAGAAGGGTTGTAGAAGAGATTCATATTTCTGTTGGGAGGAAGAATGTGGTGCTTGTGATCAGTGAAAAAACTGGACTGGTTGAATAGCTGACCTTGACGTTGAATAGCTGACCTTGACGGTCCCATGGATTCTTTTGTTATAAGGGTCAAGGAATGAAAACCCAGGTCTTCAGACTCTGCAACCTCCCCTATATTTCTCTGACTTCCTCCCCAGTTCTCTTTGTTCACTCCTTTCTTTAAAAAAAAAAAAAAAAATTGTACTGATTTTCAGAGAGAGGAAGGGAGAGGGAGAGAGACATTGATATGGTAGTGCAACATCTATTGGCTGCCTCCTGCACGCCCCCTACCAGAGTCCGCAACCTGGGCATCCGCTCTGGGAATCAAACTGGCAACCCCAAAGTGCACAGGACAGCCAGTGCCCAACCAACTGAGCCACACCGGCCAGGGCTGTTCACTCTCTCATTACACTAGTCTCCTACCTGTTTCTCAGACCTGGCAAGCATACTCTCACCTGAGGGCCTGTACACTTTCCTAGAATTTTTCACAAGGATATTATCTTTATGGCTTATTCTTACTTCCTCCTGTTCTTCTCTTTTTTAAAAAAATATAATTTTATTGACTTCAGAGTGGAAGGGAGAGGGAGAGAGAGACAGAAACATCAATGAGGAGAGAGAATCATTGATTGGCTGCCTCCTGCATGCCCCATACTGGGTATCAAGCCTGCAACCCAGGCATGTGCCCTTGACTGGAATCAAACCCTGGACCCTTCAGTCTGCAGGCCGACACTCTATCCGTGGAGCCTAACCAGCTAGGGCTCCTCCTGTTCTTTTTTTTTTTTTTTTTTTTTTTTTTTTTTTTTTTAAATATATTTTATTGATTTTTTACAGAGAGGAAGGGAGAGAGATACAGAGTTAGAAACATCGATGAGAGAGAGTCATCGATCAGCTGCCTCTTGCACACCCCCTACTGGGGATATGCCCGCAACCAAGGTACATGCCCTTGACCGGAATCGAACCCGGGACCCTTCCGTCCCTAAGCCGACGCTCTATCCATTGAGCCAAACCGGTCCCGGCCTCCTGTTCTTTTATATCATTTTAATGAGGCCTTCTCTGTTTACCCTATTTAAAATTGACATGAACAATACATAAATAAATAAAATTGGCAGGAACATAAATACCCCCCAATCTCCTTGTTTGCTCATTTTCCTTCACAGTACTTTTCACTATCTGAGAAACCATATATTTTATTTATTCAGGTCATTATCTATCTCTCTCCAATTACATAGCCTGGTGTATAGTAAACATTGAATGATACTTTTTAAAGATATATATATTTTATCGATTTTTTTACAGTGAGAGGGATAGAAAGTTAGAAACATCGATGAAAGCCGAAACCGGATTGGCTCAGTGATAGAGAGTCAGTCTGCGGACTGAAGGGTCTTGGATTCGATTCTGGTCAAGGGCATGTATGTTGGTTGCAGGCACATCCCCAGAGGGGGGTGTGCAGGAGGTGGCTGGTCAATGTTTCTCTCTCATCGACATTTCTGGCTATCTCTCTCCCTTCCTCTCTGTAAAAAATCAATAAAATAGCCGAAACCGGTTTGGCTCAATGGATAGAGCGTCGGCTTGGAGACTGAAAGGTCCCGGGTTCGATTCCAGTCAAGGGCATGTACCTTGGTTGCGGGCACATCCCCAGTAGGGGTGTGCAAGAGGCAGCTGACCGATGACTCTCTCTCATCGATGTTTCTAACTCTCTATCTCTTTCTCTTCCTCTGTACAAAATCAATAAAATATATTTTAAAATCAATAAAATATATTTTTTATTTTATTATTTTTTTTTTTTTAAATATATATATTTTATTGATTTTTGTACAGAGAGGAAGGGAGAGGGATAGAGAGTTAGAAACATCAATGAGAGAGAGTCATTGATCAGCTGCCTCTTGCACACCCCCTACTGGGGATATGCCCGCAACCAAGGTACATGCCCTTGACCGGAATCGAACCCGGGACCCTTCAGTCCCCAAGCCGACGCTCTATCCATTGAGCCAAACCGGTCCCGGCAATAAAATATATTTTTTAAAAAAGAAAAAGAAACATCGATGAAAGAGAAATCGATCAGCTGCCTCCTGTACACTCCCCACTGGGGATGTGCCGCAACCAAGGTACATGCCCTTGACCGGAATCAAACCTGGAACCCTTTAGTCCACAGGCTGACGGTTTCGGCATCTTTTTAAAAATATATATATTTTTTATTGATTTCAAGAGGAAGGAAGAGGGAGAGAGAGATAGAAACATCAGTGATGAGAGAGAATCATTGATCGGCTGCCTCCTGCATGCCCCACACTGGGGATCAAGTCTGAAACCCAGGCATGTGCTCTTGACCAGAATCGAACCTAGGACCTTTCAGTCCACAGGTGCTCTATCCACTGAGCCAAACTAGCTAGGGCAAATGATTCTTTTCTATACCACAGCCCCATTCCTATTTTTAAAGTATGAAGACCTTTAAGGTACATACTTACGTTGTACACTGTTCCAAACAGGCTTGGATCACATGGGAGATAGAGACAGACTTGCGAATCAGAGGGTACAGAGAGCCTGGGCCGGGGGTCCCATCCCCATATCCCAGGAACGTTGATTCTGTGACCGTGCACTGGTCTGTCTAGGCCCTTGATTTTTCCCATCAGTAGCTTGGGGGCTGCTGCGTCTAGAAGGAGCTTGATAACATCACGGTGTGCTTGTGACTTGGCATCACGGTGGGCTGAGGCTCATTAATAATGGAAGGAAAGCGCTCCTGACTTAATGCAGCGATGCCAGTTCTGTGGACTGGTTACTGCTGGATTGTCTCCATCCATTCATGCCCAAGTCATTCTAGTGCCAAATCTTAACCTGAAGGGAAAAAACCATTCTCCTCCTCAATAGCTTCTCTTAAATCGCCGTAGCTGGTAAATGGTCTCTTGGAGATACCCTATCTGGCTGTTTTAGTTGAGTTCAAAGGACTTCCTAATTCAGAAATTGATTCTCTTTGCTTTCCTAGTGCAGCTAAATGTTTTGTTTTGCTTTAGAGGGGTTATTAATGCAGTTTTGGGGAGCAGTGTGCAGAGTGAACATTGGTTTAGAAACTCTTGGTTTTTGTCCTCCAAAATTACTTTTGTCAATAATGAGCTGTTTGTCCTTGGGAAAATTACTTAACCGTTCTGAGTCTGTTTCCTCATCTCTAAAATGAGATTAATTCCTGCCCTTTCCGCTTTACCGTTATTGTGGGGTAGAAAATGAGGTGATGAAAAATAGAATACAGTGTGGAAGCAAAAGGCATTCATATATTATTCTTGCCATGGGGACGAGGGGAGGAGCAGTGGGTCCTGAGAGCCTGGGTGTTAACTTGACTTGGACTCTGTTCCCCAGGATGCTGAAAGCAAAACGACGCTCTGCTCCAGTTTGACAAGCCTCCCTTCGGACGGGAGTGGCTGAGTGGCGGTCTGATGTTTTTAGCCTCGTACCTGTGTGAATCCTGGGTCCAAATATACTATTAACATGTATCTCACTTTGTTTAACTCTGGGAATGCCTTTCCCCAACTTGCTGCTTTTATTCTGTCTTTTATTAGTCTTTGGTTCTGTACTTCCTCCCCTTATTTATTTATTTATTTATTTATTTATTTATTTATTTTGAAATTTATCTTTATTGTTGAAAGTGTTACAGATGTCTCCCTCTCTCCCCCCATTGACCCCTCCCTGTTGCACTTCTTTTTACCTTCCTCTTCTGTTTCTTGGTAGGAAGGTGACAGGATTCCTTATCTGAGAAAGAGTTTCTGTGATTTTTAACTGTGATTATATAGTAGAAACCAGTCCAGGTACACAACGGAATGTATTCCTTTCAGCATTATCCCCATTTCCTGGAAACATCCCAGCTGTGTGTCAAAAGGAACATGACTTTTCCCATGCCTTAGGAGAGGGGTTACCATCCTGCAATGGACTTCATCTTAGACTTCCTTCCTTCCCCAGGGAGAGGACCTTGGTCTGCTGCTCCTGGGTGGGGTCTGGGGTTGGGGAGTCACCACTTGCCAACCCGCAGAGGGCAGTTTGTAAATGTCAGCTTTGGGCTCGTCTCTCACAGGAGCTGGTGAATGACTGCTGCTCCCACACCAGATCCTGGTGTCTGGAGCTCAGGCTTGGGAGCTGTGGTGGGTTCTGGATTTGCAGAAGCCCCTCGGCGTGTTGGAAAGTGACTGCTCAGCCTGTTTTTTAGTGGGTCTGGCTGCAGCCCTGCCACGTTGACTCTGGGGAGCCAGGTTCCTGACCACTCCACAGGGGGGTGTTCCCTCCCCCCAGACACAGTGACCTTTCTCTGAATCCTGTCACATGCATTGAGTGAGGCCAGTCAAACTTTCTCTTTTGTGTGTCCTGACTGCGTTTTGCATCTCTTTCAGAGCTCTGAGCTCTTCACCCTGACCTACGGGGCTCTGGTCACCCAACTATGCAAGGACTATGAAAATGACGAAGATGTGAATAAACAGCTGGACAAAATGTGAGTGCACTCCTCTGTGGGAGCAGCAGGAATGGGGCTCCGGAGAACATGAACCTGCCTGGTCCTTTGGAGGCAGAACAGGGTCGTCACTCTTATAACCAATGTTTTGGTTTCCATTGAGCTCATTTATGGGGATATTTTGGAATTACCTCCATTTTTCTTTTACCACCAACAGCCTTATATACAGATTGGTGCACAAAATTCATGCACGGGTAGGGTCCCTAGGCCTGACTAGGAATCAGGGCGATCAGGGCCTTCTGACTGCCAGCTGGGGCCTTTCTTCCCCTGGCTGCCAGCTGCTGGCCAGGGCCTTCCTTCATTCTGCACCACCCGCTGGTGGTCAGCACACATCATAATGAGCAGTGAACACCCGGTTTGTCAAACTCCCAAGGGGAAATTTGCATATTAGCCTTTTTATTATTTAGGATATAAAACACTCAGATTCTGTAATAGTCTGTACTCTCATTTCCTTCCCAGGGGCTATAACATCGGAGTTCGACTGATTGAAGATTTCTTGGCACGGTCAAATGTGGGGAAGTGCCACGACTTTCGGGAAACTGCAGATGTCATCGCCAAGGTCATTATCCTGGGTGGAAGGATTGTCTACTCTCTCTGTCTCCCTTAGAGAGACCCTGAGCATTCCAGAAGATTAGTTAGGCAGCCGTTTGGGCCAGAGAAGCCCTCCTGATGGTTTGGGACTAGCACAGGTTATGGAAAGGGAAGAGTAGTTGGGATGATCCCTGGGTATTAAAGCCCCGCTGAAATCAGAGCCAAGTCTCAACTGTGAAGATGTAGAGAGGAACATGGCAGTTAAAAATACAGACACACCTGGCCTGGCTGGTGTGGCTCAAGGGTTGAGCATCGCCGGGACCGGTTTGGCTCAGTGGTAGAGCGTCGGCCTGCAGACTGAAAGGTCCCAGGTTCGATTCCGGTCAAGGGCATGTACCTTGGTTGCGGGCACATCCCCAGTGGGGGGTGTGCAAGAGGCAACTGGTCAGTGTTTCTCTCTCATCGACGTTTCTAACTCTCTGTCTCTCTCAATTCCTCTCTGTGTAAAATCAATAAAATATATTTAAAAAAAAAAAAAAAAAAAAAAAAAAAAAAAGGGTTGAGCATCAACTTATGAGCCAGGAGATCAAAAGTTTGATTCCATGTCAGGGCAGATGCCCAGGGGGCGTGTAGGAGGAAGCCGATCAGTGATTCTCATCATTGATGTTTCTGTCTCTCCCTTTCCCTTCCTCTCTGAAATCAATAAAAATGTATTAAAAAAAAAAAAAAAAGAAGAAGAAAAGAAAGGAAAAAGAATATAGACACACTGGCTTCATATTCTGGCTCCAATATTTATTAGTTCTTAGGTAACTTACTTTAACCTCTTTAATTTCCAGTTACCTCATCTTTAAAGTGAAGAAAATAAGAGCTTCCTCACAGGCTTGTTGTAAAGAGTAAATAAAAAAATGAATATGAGCATTGAGGTAAAATGGATGCATTTAATGTAGTGTGGGTATAGTAAATGTTTGCTACTAATAATATTAGTGTTACATATTATCTATATGTAAAAGCCAACTGACCTGAACGACAGAACTGGAACGACTAGTCACTATGAGGCGCACTGCAGCGGCCAACTGGACAGATCCGCCCTGCCCCTGAGCTGGCCGCGCCCCGTCACACACCCCTATCGGGGGTGGGGCCAGCCAACCTCCTGCCTGCTGGCCCCAATGCCTCTGGACCCAGGTCTCTAGTAGGGTTAGTAATAAATGATAAAACACCTATAGAATTGTAGTGTCAGTTACCTTGCCCAAATCCAAGAAGTTAACTGGCAAGTTTCGTGAGGGTTTGGACTTAGGAGGGTAGACAGGGGAAGGCTGTCTTCAGAGTAATTCTGCCCCAGTGACCTGCATTCCCATTCAAACAGAAGGGCTGAGACAGGGCAGGGAGGTGGGTTGAGGCCTCTATGCACTCAGATGCTGGTGCAGGGCAGGCATCCTTATCAGAAGGCCAGTGCTTCCTTCCCGTATGAAATACAGGAAGATAGCAAGTTGTCATCCATCTGATTATATGATACCTTGAGGGAGAGGAGTATGGAATTATGCACAGATGCCTTTTTTGGGCCCTGAATGCCTAAAGCTTCAGTGTCTTGCAGAGCCATAGTTTTGTTCCTGAGTCACTTAGTTCCCTTCTGCCAGCCCATCCTTCCTTTGTACACTCCCGACCGCTCTTCCCATGGTGCTTTGTGTGTCCCCTCACAGGTGGCATTCAAGATGTACTTGGGCATCACTCCAAGCATCACCAACTGGAGCCCAGCTGGTGACGAATTCTCCCTCATTTTGGAAAATAACCCCCTGGTGGACTTTGTAGAACTTCCCGATAACCACTCATCCCTTATTTATTCCAACCTCTTGTGCGGGGTGTTGCGGGGAGCTTTGGAGATGGTGAGTACAGCGCTTCACCTTCTGGGGCGCCTGAAATGTGGAGGGGAGGGGCTTGGTAAATGCTTGAATGAAGAAGAGAAGAAAGGCCGGGTGGCCCACCCGGCACTTCGCTGCCTGAGGTGGTGATGCTGCTGAGTACAGGATGCGCGCTGGATGTCTCTGCGTGGTGATCCTCCCTGCTAGACTGAGACGGTGTTGTCAGCACCAAAGCCCAGAACACCCATTCCCAGATTGGCCTGTTTGGTGACAGTCTCACTCCGGTGTGTTCTTTGCTCAGTCTTTCCTTATGGGTCGGGGCCACTGCCCTCTACAGGAGAACATTGGAATTGACAGTCTTGTCCTGGGGAAACCAGCCCCCTATGTTGGCTGCTGTGGACGAACCAATTATATAGCCCCCTCCCCAGAGGCTGTGGCTAGGCAGTCACCCTTCATTTTCCCACTGTCCCCCAGGTCCAGATGGCTGTGGAGGCCAAGTTTGTCCAGGACACCCTGAAGGGAGACGGCGTGACAGAAATCCGGATGCGGTTCATCAGGCGGATTGAGGACAATCTCCCAGTCGGGGAGGAATGACCGTCCCCAGGACTCCAGGGCTGCCAGCAGGAGCACTGGCTGGAATCAGAAAGCCCCAGTGCTCCCTCTGCCCTCCAGAACTCAGTGACTCTTTAACACGGATGTTATATATTCTTCTAACCTTGTTTCCATTCTCCATGCTAGACTGTGATATAGTCCATTTCCCCCACAAGTGTGTGCATTCAGGAGGGAAATCCTTGCTCCCTTTCCCTTCAGAGGGGATGGAGGTAGTCATCCTTAGTTGGACTAGAAAGAGCTCAACCATTTTACATTCCTGTTTGAATTTCCGAAGCAAAACCCACTTTGACCCAGTGAGAGGCACATCATCCCTGGGCCTTCAGAAAGCCGTTGGTACCTGGCTGTGGGGGCCCGGGGTTGTGGGGCAGGAGGAGAGGCGGGAGGGTGGGGGGAGCTGCTAGCAGCAGTGTGACACATCTAGTGCTGCAGGAGAGGAGAGCCTGTCGTGCTGGAAACACTGACTTCTGGGAAGCCACCCAGGTCTCCTGCTTCCCTGCTGTTTGGAGGCAACATCTCCTCTTTTTACAGAGGATTCATCCTTTTTTCTTACAAATTCTTCAATAAAGACACATTCTTGAGTGAAGTCCCAATCCTGTCCTGTTTTCTTTCCGCTCAGCCCTGGGGATTTTGTTACAGTGGGCGAGAAGACCAGCTGAGTTCCTAGGCCCTGCCTTGGTTTTATCTGGTCCTGATAGATCAGAGAGCAAACCAGGCCCCTTCAGAGTCGCTTTTGGGTTTTCTCTGTAGTAAAATACAGAAGCAGACCGTTATCCCAGACATACCCTGAGTTCTTGGCCACTAATTCGAGGTTTTGGCTTAAAAAGACCATGTAAACCCTGGTGTTGGGTACCATTGATTGTGTGCTTTCCACGTGTCAGACTGCACTGAAGTCTATGTATTATCTGGTTCTTAGGAATTCCATTTGTAGAGGGGAGGCCACAAGCTGCTCAAGGTCATACAGCTAGTAAGTGGAGATGATAGGGTTCAAAGCCTCAGCCAAACTCCAAAACCCACATTCTTAATGACAGCAGCGTGGGCGGAGGAGAGCAGGCCTGTGGCTTCCTCTCCCAGCCTTACAGAGCCTGGGATAGCTTTCAGAGGGCTGTGGGGATCAGAGTTGTCAGACCTTGTTTGGTAGCACTTTTCTTGGTGATATCTAGGGCCTCCAGGTTCAGATGCTCAGGTTGGTGGGGGTGGGGAATGGGGCCCCTGGGCCTGAGATGAGTGGTGGTGATGCATTGTGCTGGAGGAGTGTCTTGGTTTAGGTTCTGGGACACCTGGAAGAGAGACATTTTGCACATGATCTGCCTCTTCCAGCTCACTTTTAAAAATGTTTTATATTTTATTTTTTATTGATTTCAGAGAGGAAGAGCGAAGGAGAGAGAGAGAGAAACAGCAATGATGAGAGTTATCATTGATTGGCTGCCTCCTGCACGCCCCCTACTGGTGATCAAACCCACAACATGGGCATTTGCCCTTGACCAGAATTGAAACGGGACTCTTCAGTCTGTAGGCCAACACTCTATCCACTGAGCCAAACCAGCTAGGGCTATTTTATAAATTTAAAAAATTGCTTTTAAGAGCCGAAACCGGTTTGGCTCAGTGGATGGAGCGTTGGCCTGCGGATTGAAAGGTCCCAGGTTCGATTCCCGTCAAGGGCATGTATGTACCTTTGTTGCGAGCACATCCCCAGTAGGGGGTGTGCAAGAGGGAGCTGATTGGTGATTCTCTCTCATCGATGTTTCTAACTCTCTATCCCTCTCTCTTCCTCTCTGTAAAAAAAATCAATAAAATATATATTTTAATTAATTAATTAATTAATTAATTAATTAAAAAATTGTTTTCAAGAGGGGGGGAGAGAGAAAAAAAATCAATTAGAATCATTGATTGGCATCTTCCGCATGCCCCCTACTGGGGATGGAGCCAACAACCATGTACCCTGACTGGGAATCAAACCGTGACATCCTAGGTCATGGGTCAATGCTCAACCACTGACCCACACTGACTGGGCTCACTTTTTTTAAAAAAAATCTTTGCCTAAGGATATGTTTCCATTGATTTTTGAGAGAGGAAGGGAGAGATACATCAATTGGCTGCCTCCTGTTTGATACCCTGACTGGAGATCAAACCCACAACCTAGGTATGTGCCTTGACTAGGAATTGAACCCACAACCTTTTAGTGAATGGATGATGCTCCATCTGACTGAGCCACCAGGCCAGGCGGAAGAAAGGTCACTTTTGTGTTTCCAAGTATAGGGCGGCTCATGTTCTCTCTGGGATCCCATCCTTCTCTAAGTCTGTACTTCCCCCTCCAGGTACAATTTGGGGCTCAGGACAGGCACCTCATTTTGGCCGACTGTATTCTTAGGACGCAGTGTAAGGCTGGGCCCAGCTGCCTTAGGCTTTGAGTGAATGAAGGAGAGGGGAAGGAAATGAAGGCTGGGACCCAGACGTGGAAAGCGTTGTGTGGTGTCCAGATCCTACCACGAAAAGTGAGCTGTACACCCTCCCCTTCTCCTGGGGGGCCCTCGCCCTTCCTCCCCTCCTCCCCTCCCAGCACCACAACTTACTTTCCAGCAGCCGTTTGTAGGCGTGAGGTTTTGGATATTTCCTTTCCCAGAGTTAATCTTGGGCAGCATTACAGGGTCTGCAAGCTGTGGAAACAAAGCCCCTTCGTGCCTTTCCCGCTCCAGCCCCACCGGGCGAGGTGCAGTTGTGTGAGGGACAGGAAAGAGCTGTTCGGAACATCACCTCGTCATCTTTCCCGAATGAGCCAAACGTACTGCTGTCTCCCCCCCCCCCCCCCCGAGTTAACCAGTGTGGGTTACATATCCCTGAGCTCTGCTGGGACGAGGGGCTGGGAGCTCCCCTGACCCAGCCTGGGCGGTTCCCACTCCCCTTGGTGTCCTGGCGTGCAAGATGGGGCAGGAGTGCCAGGCCCCATGGGAGCACTGACTAAGGAGGGATCCCAAAGGGGTCCTGCCCCACAGACGCTGAGGGAAGGCCTTGTTCTGTAGCCTTTGGCCACCAGGGGTCTCCAGATCACCACTTACTGTTCCGGAAAGTGACCATTGGACCCCTGGTTTTTGGAATTTGCTAGAAGATGCACCTGATGGAGCCAATCTCAGAAGCTGGTCCAAGCCAGGAAGTGCCCCCTTCCTTCAGTCATGCCCGCTGGCCCCCCTGCATACAAAGCTCAGAGGGTTGCCATGCTGAGGGCTTGCCTACTACGCCCAGGGCATTGGAAAGAAGTCTGTGGCCCCCACACCCCCCCCAAACTCTCATGCTGACTGCTGAGTTGCACACACCAGCTCCGAGCCCTCCCCTAACTGACTCCCTTGCCTCCTGAGTGGAGACCAGAGCACCAGTCTGGTCCCCCTGATGTAAGAGAGTCCCGTTTCTGCCCCGGGCTCCCACCAGTGACATCTTCATACGTGGAGTAGGCCTTTCCCTGCCGGATTGGCCTCCTTATGTTTGTTCTGGGCATCCCGGTCTGCGAAGGAGGTGGCAACAGAGGCCCAGGAGCAGAAATTGCATTAAGTAAAATTAAAATCGTCTCCTAACAAGTAGTTCATTGTGGATGGCTGTGGGGAGGGGGGTGGTGGTGCAGGAAAAGCATCCTCCCTGTTCTCCCAGAGCTTAAGTGCTACCATGTGCTGTTCCCTGGAAGCCAGAGGGCCGCGGGAGGCGGGGGAGGGTGGCAGCAGGCGAGGAGCCTCGCTGTTACGGATCCCCAGCCTTTGATGTAGGGCCAGGCCTGACCCCAGGACTGCAGCCGGCCACTGCCAGGGGAGCTGTGGGATGCAGTGCATTCCTGGGGGCAATTTACGCTTCTGGCAGGAGGAGAGGAAAGTTTCTACTGTGGGGAAGGGGGTGGGGGAGGGCGCTGCTGCGGAGGCAGGGGGGGGCGGGGGGCGTTGTGAGGAGCAGTGGAGGGAGCCAAGGAACAGGGCAACACCCTCCGGCTGAGCCTGGCTCCACCGGCTTGGGTGGAGGCCTCCTCCAGGAAGCCTTCTCGGATAGGCCCGGAGCTGGTGAGGAGCAGCACATGCCCAGGCCCCCCTGCTCTCCCTCCGCACACATGAGCAGGTCCAGGTAGAGCCCCAGAGGATGAAGGATGCCGGGAGAAGCGGCTGCTCTGCCCTCCTGGCTCTGGGGCCTGGACTGTCAGCCATGAGGGTGTCTAGAACCGCGCAAAGCTGGGAGGGGGCTGGGAAGAGGGTGTGATGGGCTAGAGAACACGAGTGAGTGCGCACAAATGCTATTCATGGCTACGGCTACCCTTCGTGGGAGAGTGACTGTGCCAGGGAAGTCTGAGCACTTCACCTGCATGTCTCAGAGAGTCACAACAGCCCCGCCCCTGTCTCGTGTTGCAGATAGGAAAACAGGAACACCCCTAAGACGTAGTAGAGTCAGGACCTGAATCCAAATAGCCCAGAGCATCTCTCATCCTGTACACTCTGTGTTTCAAACATGTTTTCGTGTGTGTGTTTCAGTGTGTGTCTCTTATGTTTCTTGAGAAGGATGTCTGTGTCTGAATTCTTTCATTTAATAAAAAAAAAATGTAGCCCTGTGCTGGGGGCCGGGGACATGGAGATGCTGGCAGCTTCAGTCCACGGGGAAGCCGCTGAACGCAATGTGTGTGTGTGTGTGTGTGTGTGTGTGTGTGTGTGTGTGGTGGGGGAGAAGAGAGGAAATTGACAATGAGAGACCTGGGCAGGTCCTTGCTCTGCTGCTTCTTGGTTGTGTGACCCTGGACAAAGGATTTGAACTCAGAGCCTCAGTTCTTCCATCTGGAAAATGGGGGTCATCGCGTCTACCTGGCTGTTCGGTGTGAGGATGAAACAGGATGAAGTAGGTATGTTTCCTGGCACGGGCTGCGTGTTCCTTCACTGGTCCTTGTGATGACTAGGGCTATTGTGAGGGGAGCTGTCTTGTAAAGCTGTGAATATATGAGTGTCTGAGTGTGTGCAGGTGGCAAC